CGTATCCATATTTAATCAAATAACATATTTTTTGTGAAAGTCAGGACGAATTTAAACATTATTGACATATACAAATTTACTTGCCATTTCTACATGCACGTTATGGTGTTTTTATGGAATGTTCAAGCCAAATGACAATTATAATCACTTATGAATTATAAAATAGGAGTTAAGAAATGAGCTACGTCTACCATTTCTTTTATTATGTGAAACAACATTGACTATTTCGATGTTATATTAATATTTATCTTAAGCTTGTTTTGTTTGATTTTATATTAATTTTTGTATGCTTTTTGTTTGATTTTATATTACATTTTTTAATGCTTCTTGATATATATTTGGCAAGTATACCAATTATTGTAGATAATAAATTATACGGAAGTCTACGTTATTGAATCTATAGGAACTTAAGTTATAATTATTTGATTTAGCTCTAATACTAATTAACAAATGGATTAATGAAATTTAAAATTATTTAACATGAAATACAAGAAATTTATAAAATAGTTTAACATGAAAATTTTGAATTTGGATAATAATAAGAACAATCATAGATTAATTTCACTAATCTTCCTCGTGTAAATCCTCCCAAATTTTATTTCAATATTATAAATTATATAATTACTTCAATATCCATCAAATATATTTAAACCCTAATTTTTTAGGCAAATTTTTTTAGGTTATTTAAGGAAAATATCAATTCTTTGATAATTTTTGTTAAGTGACATGCATTTTAGGTTAAGGACCTAAAATTTGACTAATAAGACTTATTCTTATTCTTAGAAATAATTGTTATCAACATTTTACTTAAATTATAATTTTAAATGAGCTTGCAAACCTCAGTTAAAATTATAAAATTGTGCACCGGCTAAAGCAAGCGTTAAATATAAAGTAAAAATGATTAACCCTAAAAAATAATGTATTGAATGAGAAAAAAAATTACATGAGTATAAACAGTTATACTAATCTCCAATAGTAGAGAATTTAGCTACTCATAACTAAGGATCACATAAAAGAAAGGAACTTTGATCAACCTACAATTACAAAAATGCTCTCACAATAATTATCTTTAATCTCTCTAAAATTGTACTCGGAAAAGTATTGATACAGAGACTCCTAGAGATCCTATTTTATAACATTTTTCTAATGAAATTTCAGGTTAAATTTGCTCACTCAAAGCGCCATGTAACTCGCTTTGAGCGAGTTTGTGTGATCCTTCAAAGGTATTTTATGACGGCACTACTCAAAGCTCTTTTGTGGTAGCTTTGAGCGAATTTTACTCACTTTGAATGAGTATTTTGCTTACTTTAAACAAGTTGATATCATCTTCAGGGGTTGCTTTTGGCTTAGCTCGCTCTAAGAGAATTGTTAGGTGCTTTAAGCAAATTTGCCTTGTTCAGAACATATTCAGTTGGTATTTTGAGCGGTGATTTTCCTTGGAGACTTGTAACTTTCAAATTATTTTCTTCTTGTGTTATATCTCAACAATGAAAAATATTAAAAATATATATCTAATATTTAAATAATTAAATTTTAAAATAAATTTAACTTTTAACTAAATATTTTGTAATAAAAAACAAGATTTAGAAGTATAAGATACATTAATAATTATTTAAGTCGAATAAAAATTGTATGCAATTTTTTTTTTACCATTATCACTTCTCTATATCACCACTTTATTTTTTTTTAATGAACAAAAATTTTAAAGTTAAAACTAAAAATGTGCTTATTGATGCGGTAGTATGTGTCACACTCCTCTAATTTTTTTTATTTAAGTTTTTTATTTTAAAAATATTTATGCAAAATAAAAATATCTATCATTGTGGTGTGATAGTCATTTACATTCAATGCTTTGTATGACTTAAAAACATCTATAATCATGGTGTAATAATTATTTACATAAATTTTTTTAGTAGGCATGTTAATTTTTTTATTCAATTAAATCATTTCACCATAATTATATATATATATATATATATATATATATTATTTTTTTTT